ACATTGACAATTAAATGTGTTACATTGATTCTGTTTTTTATCATAAGATCGGTGTGAGTTACAACAAGATTTTTATCTTCGTTATGGCATAAAAACAGTCAATGAGGCTATGATTTGTAGAGAATGTTTATTTCGGTATGATTTAATTCTAGAAAATTCAATGCTAATTGTCTAATCAACTACAACATGCTTCAAATAATGTTATACAAGCGACTCTAGGATATCGTAGTTGAAGACGGATTACCTGCGAATCATTTTTTCGAATCCTTTGGTTTGGACTGCTATAGTTGTATTGATGATTCTCCATGTTCATCACTTAAGGTATATAAGTGGAGGAGTATTCAAAAGTCTACAAGACATTTCCAAAGTCTAGTGATCAATTAGAGATACTATAAGGAAAATATGGCTTATTTTAGTCTTATTTAAATTCATTCCCCCCTCTGATCTTTGACTTTGTACTGATTTTATACTGCTTTATTAAACTTTTCTTAGGTACGTTGATCACACAAACACAGTAAGGAGGAGATTTATCTAGTCATACGAAGATACAAAAAACTTTTGGCTTTGTGGAGAAATGAGAATGAAGCATAACCTACTTCATGTAAGTAATGGTGTGATTGTTGTGAGTTTGGAAATAAAATTTGATGATTATTGTCAGTAGTTTCATGTAATATTATTTTGCTAATGATACTTAGATTAATACTACTGTGTTGCGTGGGAATATAATTTTTACTGCTGTGATTATATTTTTTTTTTCGTATGCAAATCTTTATTTTGAAGGTAAAAAATCCAAAATTACAAAAGTTTCTAAGAAATTTGGAGAACAACTAAACAAATTCCATTGATAGAGTGATGTAATCAATTCCCTAGCTAAAAAATATGGAATTTTCATCATGTACCCGTTTGTATAAAATAAAGGGTTCTGAAATCTGAACTGATAATTATTTGGAAGAGAACGAAAATTGGACATGAAATTTTGGTCGAATAGGGAAGGTACGGTTTGCTGTCCCGGAATGGGCATACCTAGATATTTCACAATTATGAAAGGCTTGCCAAATGGAGTGAACCATGATTGTAAGAACTGAAACAAACGTGCATTACAACAGACTTGATGTTCTTGATTCCTTTAAGTGATTTTGGCAATCACCACAAATTTGAAGTAAGATTCTTGTAGTCATCTTCTATTATATTAATTGATGAGACACTAAATGAAAAATTCTATGTGTCACTCAATGAGGATTTTAAGGGACATATCAATTAAATTATCTAATCAAAACATTTTAATTAATTCTATATGCCATGTTGGAAATATCTACATAATTACATTAATTTTTTAATACGGTCTCACAAAAACATATCTTACAAATTTAAATCCAATTAAA